TCAGAAGAGAGTCATAAGACAGAATTAATCCTCAAGAAGGGAAAAAAGCCAAACTCGGAGGGACAACTTAGCAGTCCACTGGCTGCTTTTCACAGCCGCTCACTACCATCCAACTCCTAGTATGCCTGTAGCAAAGATATCATCTAAAATAATAGCAGATGTAAAATATCTCAGAAATAACGAGCATTTAAAGAAATAAATGGGAAGGTAGGTTACATGAAGCAGTCTTGTGGGAATGCTGCTCCTCTTTTCAGGATGAGATTTTTGCTTAGGAGACACCCTCAAGCCCTTGCAATTAAAGGAAAATATTTATGGGTTTTTTTCTGATGAGAGCTGAATGAGAGTGCAAAGCAAAAGAAACAAAAGTAAAGTTTGCCAAATTGTGACACTCAAATTTGGAGAGCTCTGTGCCACTGCTGTTTGTGGCTGCTCTACCCCTGTCCCAGGCTGGAATATCACAACAGGGGAACATGTTACAGAAAGCAGAAAATTATATTGGCAGAAGGAACCTCTGGAACTCTATTTTTACTACATGAGTTTCACAGCTCTATGTGTGAATTTCAGTACAGATTTACCAGAGCATTTCAGTTTATTAAAAAAGTTTTAAGTGATAAGTCATTAAAATAAAAACTCTCAGCAGCAGCTTGCAAAGCATTCTAACAAGGCACTCCTCACTTCACAGAATCACAGAATGGTCAGGGTTGGAAGGGACCTTTGGAGATCTAGTCCAACCCTCCTGCCAGAGCAGGGTCACCTACAGCACGTTGCACAGGACAGCGTCCAGGCGGGTTTTGAATGTCTCCAGAGTGGGAGACTCCACCACCTCTCTGGGCAGCCTGTGCCAGTGCTCCACTACCCTCAAGGTAAAGAAGTTCCTTCTCATGTTAAGATGGAACTTCCTATGGTCAAGTTTATGCCCATTACCCCTCGTCCTATCACTGGGCGCCACTGAAAAAAGACTACTCCCATCCCCCGGCATCCTCCCATTAAGTATTTGTAAGTATTAATAAGATCCCCCCTCAATCTTCTTTTCTCTAGACTAAAGAGACCCAAGTCCCTCAGCCTTTCCTCATAAGAAAGGTTAAATTACTAATTACTAATTTTCACAGTTAAATTATCAGCAAATGAGTCCTACTAAAACTACACCAAACATTTACTGTGGGTCTTCCAAAAGCAAGACTGAAATATAAGAAAACCGGGTGATGAGTGAAAGAACAGAAGAGTAAGTTACTTTGGTCTTACTTCTCGTCTATTTGGTGTTGTGATAGTAGCTGGAGTTTGACATCCCTCCCCCTCGGATGGCATGGACAGCCGTTGGAGAAGACGCTGGGTAGTGACCAGGGCGGATGGGCTTGGCTGCAGAGTAAAAGTAGGAAACCAAACAAGACATTGAGCTTTCACAGAAGGTTTTCTACCTCACCTTCATCGCTCGTACAAACCCCATTGTTTCCAAGCAAGGAGCTGTGCTAGGCAGAGCAGCCTGTAATCCAGCTCTGCGGAACACAGCGTTCCCTTACCTCGGCCAACAACAAATAGATCCATTTTCTGCTTGTGACAGAGCCATTTAACCATCCCATGCATGCCTCTCATCTCTGCAAAGATTATGGACTGGCTATAGAACAGAGGGAAGTCACGACCCACTTAGTGGTCAGTGATGCACTTCCTATGTCCAATTTGACTATTTATATCATTCCTGAAGATGCTGAGACAAAGCTGTCAATGGCTTTCTATGAGAGGCAGCATACAGCAGGGAGCATTGTGTGCCACCTAATTCTCTCTCAGGTTTTAAGACGCCAATATTAGCATCGCCATCCGAAACGTTATCCTTCTACTTCAGCAATGCCAACAAATAACTGCAAAATTTGCCCCATCTTAAACACCATTTGATCATGTGCACACATTCAGATTGCACCAAGCAGATACATCAAGCATCTGAATTATATAGGAAGATTTTTGACTCTACACAGCTCAAATTAAATCACAAGGAGGTGTAATCAGGGAAAAAGAGAGGAAGGGACAAGGTCCAGAAAGGCAAGGAAAGACCGAAAGCAGAAGGAGAGTATGTGGGGGAGGAGGAAGAAAGTGAGAGACTAATTTAAAGAGACAAGTTTTCAGGTCACTAGAAGGGCACACAAGACCCATTATGCCATTTATTTACTGAGTTAAATAGCAGAGTCGCTTTAAACTTTAGGTGGGGCAGATTCTATTAAAAAATGAAGCCTTTGAAGATTCCTGTGCAGCAGAGAAGCAGACCCCGTGGTTCGCCCTGGTCTGCTGCTTTCAAAGCTCTCTCTATTTAAACGTGAGCAAACAGACCAACCATGAAGTATGTGAGCAACCACTAACCCTTTAGCTCCATGTCCTTACCAATTTGAGCAGAGTGTGCTCTCCGTGCCATGTTTTTGGCTCTCACAGCCTCCTTAATGCGATCCACCTCCTGCTGGTACCGTTTGCGGTCTCGCATGGCGTTCTCCTTGGCCTCCTTCAGTGCACTCTCCAGGGCCTTAACTCTCTCTGCCGTAGCTCTAAGTCGTTTTTCCAGCTTAGGAAGCTCACAACGAAGATCTGCATTATCACGTACCAACTGCAAGAAAAGAAGTTTCAAAAATATCCAATGAAAAAGTTTATTCCATTCAACAAAATTTCACAGATCTGAGCCTGAAGAGTGAGGGCTCCAGGACAAAGCCTGCTACTGCAAAGTGCTGTACTACCGAACCTGCTTTTCTAGGCTTCAAGAGCAATGGTAGCAGCAACTCTGCACTTCTTCAGAATGCAGAAGTGTCCAGCATTTTGCAAATACTTGGTCACCTCATTATTTTAAAACTACAATGCTGAACTATGGCTTATGGACAACACTGGGTATCATCAAAAATTCATCATCTCTAGTGGTTATGGCATGCTTACCTACTTGGTCCATACTCAAGCATATGGGTAAATTGGAAACTTCAATGCCTCAGACATCGCTAAGACACCACGTCAAGCTTGTGGCTATAGATGTGATGATTTTAGGCAACTCTGAATTTATGCACTTCCTCAATTAAATACAAACCTGACCAAGGTCTATCACTTATCAGAATAACATCTAACCTTACATGCAACAACAGCCAAGAGAGAGGATTGATTTTTTGACAAATAAAAAACTGATACAGTTAGAAAAATGCAGTATAATTTCTACTGAACAGATTATACCACTACTAGAAGTCAACAGAAAACTGTTCCAAAGGAGTGATTCTCTCTTTTCTGGAGTGAAGGGAAGAAAGCGGTTTAACTACCACATTAATATAGTAAAGCAACAGCAGGTACTAACTTTCACACCTTGTTTGACAATCGAAATGTTTTACACCTGCTAGTCCAGGCTGAGTGCCAGAAGAAAAACACAAACAAAGCTAAATAAAAATTGTCACAATGAGCTTTTTCTGCAAGTGTTGAACCCTTGTTCTATAAAATAGTTATGGTACGAAATAAAAGCAGGATGGTATCACATTCAGGTCAAGTTCAATTTCATTTTTCCTCTGAGTCGTTTATGGACTCCTAGTTGGTTTTGAGTAAACATGCACTAATGAGAGCTATAAAAATCTGTATCTGAAAACCCAGCAGATGTGTGAACTGAGTGCAAAAAAGGCAAAACAGTAAAAGGAAAAACACTCCTAACATGTCCCGATTTCCATATTTAGAAACTAGGTCTGTAAACCATCTGTTCACTGGGAATCTCAAAATACTGAACCTTAGCGGACACTTGTCACAGTCCGGCACTGCTTGCTTTTTTGGCACTTCCACAGGAATAAGTAAAGCAAATCTCGGCAAATACTGTGTCTCACTAATAACAGTTTCAGAAAACTGTACTGGAGAATGTTATGTCCCTTTTAAAAAATGATCTCAAAAGCATCTGTACTACTTTGTGTTCCGCACCTGAACCGTGGGACGCAGTTCAGAACTAATGACATCTGACGAGAGGGTGGAAGCACACCTATTGGCAGAAATGATCCAGTTTTATCTAACGAGGCGCTACCTAGATATATGTACACACTCCATTGATATATAGACACTTCCAGTAAGCAGAAGGTAAGGCTCCTTCCTTGACGTATACCCAAAACACTTGCACTACACACTCCCTCCACCCCCTACTTGCACGGTGGGTACCGAGGGTGAAGGGCTCTTCATAGCCCTTGTCTCTCTGAACAGCAGAATTCCAAAGGAAGCAGGAACTCCATGAAAGAAGGAGGAGACAGAGATGGACATGCCCAGAAATGACCAACCTCAGCATCCCGGGGAGGCACCAGCCCTTAAGCTGCACAGAAAACCTCTATCTCTTTGCTTTCGTACTCTGCTGGTTGACTCCACTCAAGTCACCTCCAAGGGTGCTTCTAAGCAGCTTTAGACCAGGATTCAAAACTAGGGATACACAATCCATCCAGAAACCAGCTATCAGCACACAAGGTAATAACAAACACTTTATTCTGTTTTTTATGCATTACAGCAATACAGTGACAATTAGTCTTGCCAAAACTGCTAGAGTCTATTTTCACAGAAAAAATAATTGTTCGTTTAACACATCAATAAGATGTACAGGTAGTAGGAAGAGCAGCTCTAACACCAGCTCCTAATTCCAAGAATTTTAGTTGAGAACTATAGGTACCATTTCCTCAGAGAGTACGTTATCTTATCCTTTCAAATGTAAAAAGGTAGTTGTTTTTTTTTTTGGAAGGATGGAAGGAAAGAGAGAAGGAAGGAAGGGAGAAGGATGGAAGGAAGGAAGGAAGGAAGGAAGGAAGGAAGGGAGCCCCTACCTGTTTGTGAACCTTTGTAAGCTGTTCCAGGTTGTTCTCAAGAAAGGAAATTTTCTGCTTCTGCGCAGCACTTCCACCTCCGTCATCGCTGTCCAGTTCCACGCTCTGCACAGAGAATTGCAGCATTCAACAAAGCCAGGCAGAAACTCAAGAGGAAGCTCAGATCTTTTGTGAATTTAAGCTTCCCAAAGGCAGAAAAGTCTTCCAGAGCCCCAGATTAAAGAGAATTTATTTTACCTGTTCATTTTATATTCAAGAGCTACATTCCCCACAACACAAAAAATAAACTATTGTTACTGAACAATTATGAGGGAATCCTGAATAGGAAAATCATAGATTTTAGTGGGGAAACCCCCTTTCCCTCTTTTTTCCACTTCTGAGAGACATTTTTATGTAATATGGGGTTTCAATCTTAAAAAAAACCCAAAAAGTATAAAAACTCTTCCCCAAAACTACTCTAAAGGACTGAAAAGCATTCCAACATCTTTGACTATTTACACAGCTCTGACTCTTCTTCAACAGTAAAAAATACCTTAATTTCTGTCAAACAATAATTTTGCCAGGAAAAGGCTGACTACTCACAAGCCCATAGAAAGAAAGGGCCACAGCATTCAGTGTAGCATAAGTTAGTGCAAATTATATCGAGTAATTTCTGGTACCCATTAATACCGTCTTTGACAATTTTGTAACTGAACTGGATTGGATTGGTTCATTTCACTTAAACACCAAGACTTGTCCTTAACAAATTGGGACCCAATAAAAGCTAATAAACGTCAGAACAGTTTTTAATCTTATCTTCCACTGTTATTAAAAAAGACAATAATCAATTTTGTAACAACATGCACTAAAAGCTTCCAGCAAATGACAAGAATACTGCAAAAAAAGATAAGACTTTGGTTTAAAAGAGTATAGTCTTACTTTTTTAACACGGGTGGTGAGATCTTGCACAAACAGTTTGCGTAGGTTGTGAAGAGTCTGAAGTTCTCTCGCCTGGAATCAAAATAATTTAAAAAAAAAAAAAAGCACAAACCAGTAAGAGATAGTAGATGCTCTGGTGTAAAAATTCTCCTCAGATTTTACTTTATTGTGATTTCCTTATAGAGCTGTACCTGCCTGTGGGTATACGCAGCTCACAGAAAGGCAGTGCCCACGCTGTTCCCCGCTGTAGAGCTCTTGCACCTCCCAAGGTGTTCACCACACCAAAGCTACTTTGGAAAATACGTCAACTCTGTCTTAGGGCATGGGGAAGCAACAGCAGAAGGCTGAAGTCTCACAAGTTGGCCATGGTTACGCACATCTAGCGACGTGAAAGAGCTCTGCATTCACTCTGGAGCAAACGCATTGGCCCATTCTGAATGCTTATTCACAGGCACTTAAGATGTTTAAGTGCTTTTTAAGTTTTGGCAAAAATCCAGGTTTTCCCAGATTTTTTTTTTTATTATTACTATTATGCATGAACTTCTCAGGCTCAGCGAAATAATCTCCTTACTCCAGACTGGAAGTGTGACACGAGAAGTGGCAACCCTGCCCCTGCTCCCAGAAGGAGGGAAGCACTAATCCATTCGCAGGAAAGGAAATGGTGTGGACACGCAGTTCACCTCAACCCCACACTGCGCCAAAGCCATACTGAAGAGAACTGTCTTTCCAAGGTTGGTAAGAGCAACCTTAGCTTTTCCACTTTATGCTTATCCACTCACAAACTGGAATTTAAACGCATCGCTCAATAAGCTTCCATCACAACTACAAGCTTTTGAACTTGAATTTTTTATCTTTATCTCTCAAAAGAAAAAGGCAAAACTGACTAGAAACCAAAAAGGAGAAGCTTTTTTCATGGACTGCTAGAAACTATACATTGCAAGCCCAGCTTCAATATAAGGGTGGTGAGCCCCTGGGGCAGGTTGCCCCGAGAAGCTGTGACTGCCCCATCCCTGGAGGTGTTCAAGGCCAGGTTGGACGGGGCTTGGAGCAACCTGGGCTGGTGGGAAGTGTCCCTGCCCAGGGCAGGGGGTGGCACTGGATGGTCTTCAAGGTCCCTTCCAACCCAAACCATTCTCTGAGTCTATGATTATTTATGTACAAGTGATGCAGTACCAAGAAGAGGCACCATGTGCCACTCTGAGTCAAGAACCTCTGCAGAGCAGACACCTCCCTGAGAGCTCCCGTTCGGGGTGCTGCCCCAGCAGACCTCCACCGCATAACCCCCTCCCATGGGCCCCCTTCTTTTGCTTCCTCACGAGCCCAGGGCTGGGAAGGAGAACGAGTCAAAGCAAAGGCAGCAGCTGTGGTCCCACCAAAACTGTTCTTCATCCCTTCCTTCTCAAAGTCATCATCCAAGCAACACACAGTGCCCATGGAACCCAACGTCTCCCCATACCAGCGGGCAGGGAGGAGCCACCATTTGACCTTTGACAGCTCATGTCGTTCTGTAATTCACTATGCCTGATTTTTAATTCC